CTATCAATGGCCCTTAAAATATTCTTCCCAGGTCATGCACACACCCTCCCCAAGCACCATTCCCCTGTGGCTGTGCTTCACACCCTCCTCCAGTGATTTTGCCTGGCTGGAATGTGTCCTTGAAACTCTGGAAAAAGCCTCTTGCTTGTGAGGATAAGAGAGGGTTGTGTGAGTCTGTGCAGAAGCCAGTCTACTGTAAAATTTATATTCATAGCCCTTCACCACTTTTCTAAATTGAAAAATAAAAAATTACAAGTGCACAGAGCAAGACAAGACAAGACACACAAAAATAAGAATCAAGAAATAGTAAAGGTAAAGGTAAAGGTACCCCAGACCGTTAGGTCCAGTTGCGGATGATTCTGGGGTTGCACGCTCATCTCGCTCTATAGGCTGAGGGAGCAAGGCGTTTGTCCGCAGACAGCTTCCAGGTCATGGAGCCAGCATGACTAAGCTACTTCTGGCGAACCAGAGCAGCGCACAGAAACGTTGTTTACCTTCCCGCCGGAGCGGTACCTATTTATCGACTTGCACTTGGACGTGCTTTTGAACTGCTAGGTGGGCAGGAGCTGGGACTGAACAACGGGAGCTCACCCCGTCGCATGTATTCAAACTGCCGACCTTCCGATCGGCAAGCCCTAGGCTCTGTGGTTTAGACCACAGCGCCACCCGTGTCCCTAAGAAATAGTACCCATGTAGAAAACAAAACAGAAGAAGAAGAAGAAGATATTGTTGTGTACATTACAGAAAAGGGGGGAACTTGTCATTATAGTTAACCATATCTTAATCTAATGTGGTATTTATAAAAAATGAATTCCAAATATTGTTAGATTTGTCCATGGCAAGTCTTTTGCCTCTGGCCCCAACCACTGGCATGTAGTCCTTGGATGGGTATTGCAGGCTTCATGCTGAAATAGGGTTCCACTTCTGCCCTGGGCTATGGAATTAGCTGAGCCCATTTTGGAGCACTCTGTTGCTGGGGAAAAGCTAAAAATGCAGGGGGGGGGGGTTGTCTCTGACATCATATCTTATTTGTCTGCAAATGTCAGTGCTGCAAAATCTCAGCTGAGTGCTTGTGTGGGTGAGATTAATGACTGGGAACTCCGAAAGGTGATGAGACAGGCATATGAAAGCCACTTCATCAAAGTGTGGTATATAGTTCAGCTCCCAAAACGACCTGATCAGGCTGGCTCAACACCAGGTACGTATTTGCTGTTGATTTGATAACATACTTAAAAACATAACAGCAAGGGAATCTGAGGGGATATTCTTCACCTGCTATGAGTGCAGACCCTAGATTGAAAACTCAGTAACGCTGAGATGAATGGTATTTGGCAAGTTTACATTTTATTCTAAGGGCACTTATAAAAAGCAACCTGTGTGACTCATTTGCAGACATCATCTATTGCAGTTAATTACCAAGGGGACAATAGCTGCAGCTGTATTGGGTTGTTGTGGGGGGGGGGGATATAACATCCAATACATTGCACAAGATGCAGAAATTCAACGGATAAAACTTTCAGACACTGACCAGAAGTGAGGGGAAAGCTTCACCTGTTGAATTTGTTTGCCATACAACTGTTAAAAGCCCAGAAGCTTCCCCAACCCTTTTTTTTAAAGTTGTAAAGTACAGTCATACCTTGGGTTGAATATGCTTCATGTTGAGTGCATTTGAGTTGCGCTCTGCGGCAACCCGGAAGTAACAGAGCACGTTACTTTCGCCGCTCACGCATGCGCAGACGCGGCAAAAAGCGACGCATGCGTGCGAAGATGTGCTGTTGCTAGTTATGCTTGCTTCTGGATGCGAACAGGGCTCTGGAATGGATCCCATTCGCGTTTTGAGGTACCACTGTAAGTCAATGCTGGAACGAGACTTCTAAATATCCTAGCCCGGCTAGGATAAAAAAATGGCCTACCTTAGCAGTTACTGTTCTGTGTTGGCTCAAACAACTGCAAGTTATTTTGTCTTCTGGTGGAGGAAAAATGAATGAAGTACTTTAAGTCAATGGCTGCTAAGATTTGCAGCTGGTAGACGTTAAAATGCAATTGGTGATTAATGAAGGTTAACCTTTTTTCAATTACCAATTGACCAGCAGGTGTGTAAGGCCATGTGAAAAGCAGGTGAGGGAATACAAGGAATTGGGATTCCAATGAAATTTAGGGCTGCTTTTATGTCTTATACTTTAACAAGTAAAACTTTTCTTCTATAAAAATACATCTTCTGCCTTATTGTGAGGCATCTGATCAAAATCTGCTTTGAGCTTAAAAAAATTATATTTGTAAATATATTTTTCTCTGCCAGGGACAGACCAGCTGAATACTCTGGCAGCTGTTCAAGGGGCCCCACTGCTATAAATAAAAGTATTTCAAGGTTGTAAAAGGAAATTAGAGCCAGAGAGCAAAAGGTCACACTGACCAGAATACAATCAAGCTGTAAAAACACAATTAAGAACTGGTAAATAGTGAAATTTATTGTTTAACAGAAAACTCGAGCCATAAGGTTAAAGGTTAAATGGAAGAGGTTGCTCTTAGAAACAGCTGCTGGTTAGGGGAAAAGGTTTCTTTATAGAACTTAGGAACTTAGCTTTTACTAAATTCCTTTAATTTGAAAAGGCCTTTCCTTCTAAAAATCTATCTATGTTATGTATGAAATATATTGGCTTAAATGTGATTATGCAAAGGATTTAGAAAGTAAGAAATGTTAGATTCTTATGTTAGATTCCTATTATGGTGGGTGAGAAGGTGAACTCAAGATCTCTTTAAGATAAAAAAATTAGAAACCATGCACCATCTGCTTTAGCCATCTGGTTTGCGGTGAATAGGGCAACAGGGGCCAAAGGTTATCTGGTAATTGAGGTGCCTGGTCGAGGTAAATGTAAGATATATGGCTACTTGTCTGCCATTTATGGATACAAGGAAATATAGCTTTTTGTCTCCCATAAAAGGGAATAGGAAATGGGTGTATCTTTTATGATTGGTTCTAGCAAACAACCAATAGGAATTTCAACCAGGATGATTGGACAGAGGCAGCCAAAGGAGGAGCAAGGGGGCTGGGCTGAGGAAATATAAGTGCTGGCCATCAGGGCTGGAGTAGGCAGAGCTTTGGTATCCATATACCACTGTGTCTCTCATTTATTTGTCTGACAAATAAATTATTATTTTAATTTCTCTATTGCTGCGTTGAATATTTCATTCCAGCTAAGCGTTAACCACAAGCAGGGTGCTACAATTGTGCTCCAAGAGTTTCCTATTTTAAAAAAATAATGGAGAGGAGATAAGCAGCTGAAGCATGAAAAAAAAAATTAGAGCAAGATTATTCTGTTTATGATAGATTAAAAAAATACATGGACAGGCAAACAGTTGGCAAAATTATTATTGATCTGACACTTTTAAAAAAAGCTTTCCAAGCTACTTGGTAATTCTTGTTTTCCCCCCTCGGAACCACTCTATAGTAGGCCAGTATTTCCATTTTACAGCTGAACAGTTAAGTCAGATTACAATTTACCCAAGGCTACACTGAGATACAGTTATGGTATTGGTGAGATTTAGGGCTCTGACTAATAGACCATTCTGACTTGGGCGGGGGCGGGGTGTGTGTGTGTAAATGTTTGTGAATAAATAAAGTACAACCACCAGAATTACAAACACAAGCTAGGTGTGTATTATTCTAACTGTATTCTCACAGTCTATGGCTGTCTACACAATCCTGTTTACTCTGCATCCGGTAAAATCCCACTGCTGGTTTGGGAAGTGGCACCACAAATTATATTTAATGTATTTATGAAATACATTGTTTTTATGTGTATTTCCCTAAGCCAAGCTTTGATCCGTATTGAGAAGAAGAATAATTTGGCTGGGGGTGCATGGCCTACTTGACCATCCTATAAAATGTAGTCAATAGGCTACAGAAACTTGCAATGGGAAAAACTGCAAACACAGAAATGAGAAATACAGCAATGACAATTAATAAAAATTATATGCGATGGTGGCAGCAAGAGTTTTGATCGCAGCAAAATGGAAGAGTAATGAAATCCCCTCTATACAAGATTGGATCCAAAAGCTGACAGAATATGCCGAATTAGATGGTTTATCAGAAAAAATAAAGAATAAATCAAAACAGGAATTTGTTTCTAAATGGGAGGTTTTCAAAGATTATCTGAAAAATAAATATAGTAGTTTAAATTCTGTTGCAGCATTTGAGGAACTTCAGTGATAGTTGCTAGGTAAATAGAAGAAATTAGATTTATTGAGAATAAGTTTAATTATGAAAAAAATATGTGTATTGGCAATACGTAATATGAATTTGAAATATGGAATAGACGGGAAGTTGGGTCTTTAGTGTTAAGACCAATAGATGTTTTATTGTTTGCCAAGAAAATTATGTGTCTATGGTTATTTTTGTAATTTGTGTGTAATTTGGTATTTGTGTTTTTTGTGTGTGTGTTTTTCTTGTTGTATAAATAAATAAATAAATAAATAGAAAAAAAGGGGGGGAAAGACAATTAATAAAAACAAACAGAACCATTCATTAGGGCCAGTTAATTGTCAAGCTAGAAGTGGGGAGCAAGTGCAAGCATCGTTTGAGATCTTGGGTGCTGTATTTCAGTAGTGGTAAATTCATTATTGGAGTGGATAAAACAAATTATAAAGTAACTTTTTAACCGCTGCCATCTGGTGGCTATTCTGAAAAGTGGCTGTACAGAAACAAAATCATGTGAAGTGGGCAAAACTGGAATGCTTTTGTGGGAATCTAATAGGACATAACATTTTAACACACACACACCACAGATTTTGTTTTGAAAGTTATGCGCTTTCTAGTGGCTTGTGAGTCTTTTGTGTTTTTCTGGAGGAGTCTTTCCCAGTCTGGTGCAAAGGCTCAGCCACGGAAAGGGCTATGCAGACACATTAGCTGCGAAAACCATAAACTTCCTTCAGAAGAGGAGAGTCTGAATGTTTTGCTGAGTGCGTGTTCTCCCACCCCAATCAAATTTGCTGCATATCTCTCAGCTGCTGCTGCCGAGAAGCAAGTGCTTCAGTTCCCCATCCTCTACTTTTGAGGAGACCAGTTTGCCAATCAGGTTCTTGAAGGCACACTTGACTTCCGGTATGTTGGTGATGCTCTCCGTGAGCTGCTTGGTGCAGTCACCGGGGTCTTCTGGGCCAGCAATCTGGGTGCGCCTTTGCTCCATCTCTGTTTGGAGGCTCCCTGTTTGCATGGTGATGGACTGCTCCATTCCCAGAGCTTTCTGGGAAACCAAGTGCATCTTGTATTTTGATGGATGTCCCCAGCATTTCACTTCTCTTTTATATACTGTGATCCTTTTATGTGAACCACCCTGAGACCTCTGACCTTCATATCCTTGGGTCCCTTGTGGTTACCTTATCAGCTATAAGCTATCAAATTCTATGCTCACTATTATAAAGAGCAGATGCCTGCTAACCTATGAAAAACAAATAAAGCATCTTTTAATGGTACTATTACTACTTCTACAGTGGTACCTCAGGTTACAAACACTTTGGGTTACAGACTCCGCTAAGCTGGAAGTAGTACCTTGGGTTAATAACTTTACCTCAGGATGAGAACAGAAATCGCGTGCTGGCGGCAGCAAGAGGCCCCATTAGCTAAAGTGGTACCTCAGGTTAAGAACGGTTTCAGGTTAAAAACAGACCTCCGGAACGAATTAAGTTCGTAACCAGAGTTACTACTGTACTACTAATAATTTATTATTTATACCCCGCCCATCTGGGTGGGTTTCCCCAGCCACTGTGGGCGGCTTCCAACAAAATGTTAAAAATAGAATCAAACATTAATAACTTCCCTAAACAGGGCTTCCTTCAGATGTCTTCTAAAAGACAGGTCGTTGTTTATTTCCTTGACATGTGATGGGAGTGCATTCCACAGGGCTGGTGCCACTACAGAGAAGGCCCTCTGCCTGGTTCTCTGCAACCTTACTTCTCGCAGTGAGGGAACCGCCAGAAGGCCCTTGGAGCTGGATCTCAGCTGAATGATGCGGGTGGAGATGTTCCTTCAGGTATACTAAAACCCATCATTAAAACAGAGAATTAATGGAAAGGTTAAAAGCTGCTTTGAATCAAAGAGTTGCTTACTATTCAAAAATGGTCAGTCTATAGACTCTATAGATTGAAACAAGCATGTTTAATCAAAAGTCTTAATAAAGCCTGGTTATTTCATAGAAATAATTTTCACAGGAAATAATAGAGCAGGAGAGTGTGCCTGGGAGACCACCTCCAGAAGTGTTTCTTCTCAGCCTGTACTCCAATTAATGAAGACTGTTGAAAGATTTGGGGTAGGGCGGGTTTGGCTTAGGAAAGAAAACCTGAATTGTTGTGATGAATTGAAAGTGTTGATTTTATTTTGTTATAAAAGAAGAATGCTTTTTTTTCTTTAAAAAAATATTTAGGGGCACTCTCATTTTGACTGAAGGAAATAACCATTTTATGGTTCAAAATGGAAAAATAAATACAGTAAATGGACAAAAGTACAAAGATTCACAAAATGTTTAGGGCTATGTGTACCCCTGCATTCCCGCAGAAAAAAGCACTGTACAGTATATAAGGCAAGTGTTCTCTAATTCTAGTTAGCCAGCTCCTGAGAGATTCATTCCATAGCCTTAGCTTTTTTACCCCCAGGCTCTCTTGAAGAGGGAGGCTAATCTATGCCAGGTTTTATAACTAGCCTGGAAAGATAATGCATTCTGGGAAGCCTTATATAGGTGGGGCTGGCGTTAAGTTGCCTGCATGTTTTGCAGAGAGGAGGGCAGTGGGAGATTGAGGGTGGTCGTTTCTCTAAAGCTGTTAAATACACATGCAATAGGATGGCGTTTTAGAAATAGGAAAGATTATCGAATCAATACAATCCAGGCATTGTATAAAGAAACCTTTGAGGCTTGTAAAACAAAATGCTGTTTTGAATTTTACTGGGCAGAAAAATGTAGTGCCTTGAAACCTCCCAAGTTTGCTTTTACATAGTATGAAGGTCAGTTGATTCTTTTTGAGGGAGAATTTGATAAGGAAATAAGGGGAAATGAGGCAGACTAACTTAAATTCATCAGATAGAGAAAATGCTGATTTAAACTAGGTGGCGATTGAGAGTTATTTTAAGCAAAAATGGCCCCTGGCTCAGTCTCTCTTTTTTAAAGTTTTGATGAACTTAATTTTTTAAAAAAACTGCTTTGCCTTTTGGGAAACTCAGCCTTCAAAAAATACACTTAAAAACTGGATATTTATTATAGAATTTAGTCAATATTGTCTATCATTGATTAGGCAAATGTAGCCATGATCGCATGCTAGAAGAATATTTTTATTTTCATAAAGCAATGTAAACAATACAAAACAGCAGAAAAATGCTTTCTATTTACACAAAATCAATGTAAACGATACTAACAAAGCATAACGCAGATGAAGTGCAGAGGTTTACAGCCATCTCAGTCTAGCTTTTCTTTTTACTTACATTTTGTGCTTTGCATGCATGTAAAAAAATGCTCATTTATAACTATAAATATATGAAAGTTAGGTATACTAACGCCATCCAAGCTATCTGTATATGTTATACAGTATCTGCCCGTGTTAAAGTAATCAAGAAACTTTAAGTAAAAGGTACTAATTATTTGATAACTATATTAATTGGTATATGCTTTGTCTGAATTCCTGTTGATCCTTTGACAAAACCAACAGTAATTTTGCTTGATAGCAGTTGATATACTATATTATACACTGTTGAGGGTATCTAATGGATTGCTCAAATTGCATTTTTTTGCCCTTTTTGGTCTTTGGTGTGCTGAAAAACTCTACACTTATAACCATTTAAATGATAAATTTTATTAACCCATTATTTGTGATGGTATAGTGGGCATTTTCCATTATCATTTTTTTAAAAAAATACTGCTGATAATACTGACAAATTCTAAACTGATTTTCTACTCCTTTGTTTTCCTGCACAATTTGCTGGGTCCCTAGAAAGTAAAAAATGCTTCCCAGTTTTTTGTTTTGTAGAATACCTTTATTATATGGAGATTTTATGTTAGTTTCTGATGTTCTCAAGTTGGATATCAGTTGTAGATCTGCTAGTAAAATTCACTTTTTAAAAGCACTGGATGTCAACTGATAGCTTGTTGGATTCCATCAGTAACCTCATTCCAAAACCAGCTGGAGGTTTGCACCAAGTCCAGAAAATAAGGTCTGCTTTGTAAGCCTAGCATCACCATTAAATCAGAACTGCTGTGATAGATTTTACTTCTTTTATGTGGGTTAAGATGCCCCTTATGATTTGGGGAATATTTTTTTCCTATGTATGCTCAGCAGTTAGTGCTACATTGCTGAACTGTGCGTTCAGAACAATAGCAATATATAGCTATAACTATAATATATATATATAGCTATAAACTAAACTAGAAAAAGGGACCACTTTACAAAATGCTGGTAAATATCAGTACCCCAGCATTTTTAAGGGCTCTCAGGGATGGAGAGCCAATATGTACCAGGCTTATATAATTAATAATGGGAATAACCCACAATTGTTTTTTTAATATATATACTAACTTAATTTACACTGACATGCTTTATGACAACTTCTTGTACATTGGATTGTTCCCTAATATCTTTAAAAACACTCAAAAGCATAGGTATATTTTAAAAGGTAAACAAGTTCACGTTTCAAAAATGTGTACCGTAGAAACTTGGAAATTTCCATACTTTACATGCATAGCTGCAGCTATTTAGAACCTATTATTAGCATAATGAAATATATTAGGAATAAAATAATCATTAACTCATGTATTAACATAGGTATGAAGTAGCAAATATATCTGATTGAAAACACCTGTGTTGAGTCACAGGTGAACAACTGAGGGCAGGTGTTCTGAGCTATGCAGCCATCCTGTTTGCCATGCATCACACAACAGCTTTTTGTAACTGTTAGTTTGAGAAGGTTGAGTAAGTTTGAATGATCTTTCAGGGAGCATAGGGCACTTAAAATTGGTTCAGGGTTGGTGGCAGAAGGTGAAAGTTATCTACTTGACAATGTAGAGAGGCGTAGTATACTCTTGTTGTGTTTACGTCTCTTATCCAGACCTTTTGAAAATTGCCACTCCTGCCATTGCACTCGCCTTTCCAATATACCATCCAAGTTAATGTTTTCCTCTCTCTGGTTTGGGCATGAAGTTGACAATAACAATCAAACAACTTTATTATTTATACCCTGCCAGGCTGGGTTGCCCCAGCCACATCTGAAACACATCTGGACTTGATTATTTTAATATGGGGTCAGGTATCTCCCACTTCCTTACGTTTTCTTCTGCATTCCAGTACTGCTCATCAGACCCTCATGGGTCCCCTCTGCTCTTCACAGGTTTAGGAAGTTAAAACATGTGTAAGGCTTACTCCTTTTAGGAATTAAAGCACTGTCCATACACTCATTAAATACCCAAAAGCTTTCCTTGCAGAACAGATGACAAAAAGAATATATGCAAACATTCACAAGACAGATGCTTTTCCAAGCATAAGCTCTGCTTTACTTAGAAATGCTAGAGCTTCTTGCTATAAATCAAAAACTGTCTCTCCCTCTTTCACCCTGTACTTCACTATAGAATTTACTATAGAGAGGCCACTTTTTCTCCGCTTTCATTTCGGCCAGAACCTTTTGCTCTTCAAGGAGCAAATGATTGAGGTCCCCATCCTGCTGCTCCATTAATTAGATATTCGACGGCACACTTGGCTTCTGGTGTGTTCGTGATGTTCTCCCTGCGTTGCTTGGATGTAAACAGTAGGACTTCATATGTCTACGTTCTCTACGTTATCAAAAGCTTTCCTTAACCTTTCCTTAATGTTAAACGCCACAAGTGTAGATCTGCCCCAAGAAAATTGCAGCCGCCTTGTTGGACTGCAAGAAGACCAGCAGCAGGTTATTCTTTTAGCCTCTGTGGGCATGGGGTTTTTTGCACTGGTACAGCATGCCCAGCTTGATCAGGTGCCCAGCAGCATTGCCACATAGCAGCAGTGTCACTGGATCCTTTGCACTTTTAAGTCCAGGGGCTGCCCTCTCTGCTCTGGTGATATAGGTGCGCTCAGGCATCTTCCAGAACAGGCCCATCTTGTCTCTGTTGAAGGCCTACTCTGGAAGATAGGCCTTCTGCAGCAGCCTCTTCAGCTGCAATTTCTAGAGGGTTTTTTCCCCCTCTCGCACCCCCACCATATGTGGAACATCGTTCCTTCTGCTGTGTTACATCTCCAACATAAGTTGGATTTTAATTTGTACATTTTAGCAAGTCTGGTTGGGGTCATGTACCACCTGTACATAATTTTCATTATATTTTCCTTAACTGTAAGAAGCGGCAAATCTAATAATGTGCCTCCACAGCTTTCCCCACTGTTCCATTTGAATTGGGTATCCAAAGTCCTGAGCCCATTTCGTCATTACTTCCTCTATTTCCTCAACTTTTAATTCCCATTACAGCAGTAAATTGTAAATTTTTGATATTTTCCTTGTATTCTGTATAAAAATTGTTCTAGTTTAGATTCTTCCCCCCCCAGCCCATTTTTTTTGTCTGAAATAAATATGTCCTGTAATTGATAATAATTGCAGCCGACTGGTACAATGATCTCTTAACTTCTTCATAAGGTTTCAGTTTCAAATGACCTTCTTATAGAAGCTGTTTGTAGGTGGTCCAAATTCCCCCATTTAAAAAATAATTCCTTTTTAAAAAATTATTTTTACCGAGAACACCCCCAGTGGTGATAGCCACCACGCTGTCTTGGGCTCTAACAACCTCTGGTATTTTGTCCACACTTTATATAATGCATTCCTAATTATATGATCGGTAAACCCTTTTTGTTTTGGCCTTGTTATACCCAAGATACGCGTGCCAGCCGTGCATGTTATTCCAGCCCTCTGTCCAAAATATCTGTATTTTCTAGTAACATCCAGTCTCTGATCCAACATAGGCTTAAGGCTTCATAATAGATTCTTAGGTCTGGAAATTCGAAGCCCTCCCCCATTTCTTTTTTGTCTGTTAATAATTTGTATCTTATACGTGGCTTCTTTCTCTGTCAAATTAATTTAGTTAAATCTTTCCTCCATGTTTCAAAGCACTCCATTCTCCCTTTAATAGGAATCATTTGAGAAAGAAATAGCATTTTTGAGAGTATATTCATTTTAATTACAGAGATTCTGCCCCATAGTGTCAATTGTAGCCTAGACCCAATATCTGTATCATTTTTAATTTCTTTCCAAATTCTTTTGTGTGTCTTCAAACAGATTGGTGTTTTTCATTGTTGTTTAATTGTGTCCGACTCTTCGTGACCCCATGGACCAAAGCACGCCAGGCACTCCTGTCTTCCACTGCCTCCCGCAGTTTGGTCAAACTCATGCTGGTAGCTTCGAGAACACTGTCCAACCATCTTGTCCTCTGTCGTCCCCTTCTCCTTGTGCCCTCCATCTTTCCCAAAATCAGGGTCTTTTCCAGGAAGTTTTCTCTTCTCATGAGGTGGCTAAAGTATTGGAGCCTCAGCTTCAGGATCTGTCCTTCCATTGAGCATTTTTGTTCTTTCATAGTGATGTCAATTCCTAGGTATTTGGCTTTCTTAACAATTAGTAGGTCTGTTTTTTCTTGTATTTCTTTTTTCTCAGGGTCCTGCATATTTTTGACTATTAATTTCGTTTTAGATCTGTTAAGTTTAAACCCTGAGGTCTTACCAAATTCTGTCTTTTTTTCTAGTTTTTGGAACACTTCTGGTTGTTCCACCGTTAATATTAAAGAGTCTGCAAAAGCTTTCAATTTGAATGATTTCTCCCCAATGATATCCCTTGTATTCCTTGGTCTTGTCTTATATCCAGTGTGGGTCTTTGTAGGACTATGATAAACAATAAAGGGGAAAGTGGACAGCCCTGCCTGGTCCCTTTTTCTATCTGGAAAGACTTTGTCTTTTCATAGTTAATTTTCAGATTGGCTTTCTGTTGTTTTTTTTGTGTTTTTTTGTAAATTGCCGTTATTCCTCTGGTAAAACAGTCTCCCATTGCCATTAATTCCACAGTTTTCCTCAGGAACTTCCAGGAAACGTTGTCAAACACCTTCTCTGCATCTACTAAAATAAAGGCTGCTTTCTTACCTGGATTTAAATCTAGATATTCAATAACATCTATCACCATTCTCATATTGATTTTCATTTGTCTATCTGGCAAGAATCTGGCCTGATCTTCATTAATAATATCTTGTGAGTACTTTTTTAAATCTATTGGCCAGAATTTCTGCATATATTGTTAGCATAGAATTCCCACATAGTCATTTTTAGCAATGAGATTGGTTGATAGTTGTCCTCAGACAATGACTAAACCTGCCTCGTCGGTAATGACATGGTCTGGTCTTAGCATAACTCCTCCTCCTGCCCGTAATCACTGAGATCGGGTGTCCCAATACATCCCCCCCCCCGTAGAACCTGCCCCAGCCATTCTATTGGCTGAGGCCCACTCCCAGGCAGCCCTGACCCTTCCCCTTAAAAAGCAAAATACAAACTAAATAATAACTTAACAGAATAATAAAAATAAAGCAAGAAACAATAGTCCTAAAATTAAACTACTCCCCACTCTGACTAAATACTTATCCCACCCCAAGCAGAAATAAAATAATAAAATTATAAAATATTATAAAAAAACAACCACCACCATTTAAGGTGCAGCAAATTAAAAGCACTTAAAACATTTAAAACCTTTCTGTCACTTGCTGCAGGGAGCTGCTCAGGCTTCTAAACTGTGGCGGTGAGTGCAGGCCACACACCCTAGGCCAGATGGAATTGGCAGAAAGGGAGCGGTCTTCCCAGCCCTCAAGAGAGCAGCAGCAGCAATCTTTCGTGTTTTGATTTAATCACAAAAAGTGTCCTCCCCTCTCCTGTCCGATATCAAATGGCTCTTTAGGGAGCAAGAGTTGTATTTCTCGTTCTTATTAATCGAGAAGATTGATGCTGGCTCGGTTGGGTCCTGAGACGTCTCACGGTCGGGAAAGCCCCCTCTTTTTGCACTGGGGTGCTCTCAACTTCCACCTATTTCGTGTCAGAATGGCGAGAAACCCCCTTTCTGCGCTGCTCGGTGCTGTTGGGTTTGAGACCGCCTCTCAAACTTCTTGAGACAGCGTCGTTCTCCCCAATTCCCGTTAACCTTGTGTCAGGGCTGGAGTTTCTCTCTTCACAGTAATCACTTCAACCGTTGATGTTTTTATGGTCTTTATTTACAAGTATTTACAGAAGGCATAATCACCCTTAGTCTAAATCGCTTAGTCTGAATCACTTAGTTCAGATACCGCCAAAGACCTCTTCTTCCGCTTCCAGCATCTAAAGTGTGGGAACCTCACGACTCTCCTTTGACCCTGTCTCTTGTCTTTGCGTCTTGTGCGAGCTGTCATAAATGTAACCCCTCCTTCCGATTCAGAGCTTAATCCTTGCAAGGCTGCCTGCTCGCTCTCCACCACTTCCTGATTCCCTGTGTCTACAGGAGCTGATGCTTCCTCGCTGGACTCTCCTTCCCCCTCCTCTGCAGACACACATTCTTCTAATTCCTTCCTTTCTACCTGAACGTTCTCTTCCATGTCAGGGGATTTTGAGCATACTGATTCTGCCCTGACACCTTGATTGGGTGTGCTCCACTGCTTCAGAGCACATTCCCTCGACCCAGCACTGAGTGCATCAAGCTGGAAGCCCCACTTTTAAGGAATTTTTTTTCACATTTTCCTGCCTCAGAATCACATCACTGTTATGCTTGGATTTTGAAATTAATATAAAAAAGACAGTCATGGAACTGAGAAATTGCACAAAACATGAAATACTGTGAGAATCACTGAAACGAGAAGTAATCAACTATAAATATTGTGGAAATCAACTAAATAATAAAAATCAAACGGCTTAGAAAAAACCTAAAATAGAACAAAGCCTTAACGGGATGCCGGCTACAAACCTCGTTTCACTGAACTGTTCAGTTGCCTCAGAAGGAAATAGAAAAATCCTAAACGTTAAATGACCAAAATTCAAACAAAGGTAGAACCCCCAAAATTCTGACGTATTACGATCCTAGCTTGACCTAGGTAAAGCAAAGCACAGTAATAAAGGATTGAGGACTCAAAAGTACAGTTTCTAATACTGAATTTACAAAAAAGGTTTGAAAACCTAAATAGCATTATTAAACAAGGCTCAGCTTGAAGAAAGCAAAGCACAATAATAGAGGGTTGAGGACTCAATTGTGAAAATTCTAGTGCTTTTACAAAAAGGTTTAAAAACGTAAGTGGCACAAATTCAAAGAAAGTAATATAAGATAAAGCTGTTTTAGATTTTGAACAAACTCAAGAACAGGGCTGAAACGCTCCCATGGTCTAGATGTTACTGCTGATGTTAGACTGGATTTTGAAATTGGCAGGCTCAATGGATTTTGAAATTGGCAGGCTCAATATCACTAGTGTACGCTACTCAGTGCATAAAACTGTACCAGCACCAGTGACCATATTGCCAACGTCTTGAAAGAAGACCCGAGAGGCGGAATAGCGATGGGTTATATTTATTTAACTACATGAGAAGATATTGGAGAGGGGGAGCCACTTAAGTAAGTGCAGTTAGGAGAGATTAAATCAATATGCATGGAAGAAGCATCCTCCATACGCTCCTTGACATGTAAACAGTGGCTCTTGGTGGCTTCCCAACCAAGGATTAGGAGAAAATTCGCCCTCCTTCCTAAGCGAGCCTTGTGTGCAGGGGTAGGAGTACACATACAAGCCGCACTTTCAGTGTCCCTGAAAATATGCATCACAGGGCTCACATCCACAAATATATATATATATATAAGCTTGCTTGTCCCTGCATTTTGGTACTAAAAGCCACATGAGGTTTCTCCCATTAATTCCTTCCTTGTTCCAATGTTTTATGGCAGTCTTTGTGTTCCAGGGCACCTGCATGCAAGAGGCAAGGTGTTAATGGGGGAAGCGCAGGTCACGTTGCACTGAACAGGTGTAGGCCACCCCACAATTGTGTGTGGTTTTACCATAACCAAGCAGGATTTGGCCACAGCAGAGAGAGAATGCATGGGAAGCACTGGATTGGAGCACATATTTTTTTTAATATGTAGGAGACAGTACCATAAACCTAAATGAGATCTGAAACAATTGTCAACAGTTTTCAGTTGGACTTCACCATATCTTGGTCTCTGGCTCCTTTCCTTTCGACGGAGGGCATTCGGAGGTCCATGTGAGTTTTTTGAGCACGGGGAGAATTTGCATTGGCCAAAATTCTGGATGAAGGGAACTCGGCTAAAAGTGGGGTGAAAATTAGCATCAGGGGAAGGGAGCTAAGAAATCAAATTAAAGGTCAGAAGGGAGGTGAAATAAAAAGGGGTGTGGAAATAGCTTATCTGAGTAAAGCAGTGAACAGCAATTGTGGAGTATACTGCTTCATCAGAAGGCAGGAGCAACATCCTAACAAGCCCCCAACAGATCAACTCCACAACGGCAGCAGGAAACAATAGGTACAAACATCAAATAATGAAACCAGTGGATGAGATCCAAAACTAACTACTGCAATAAGAAAACACAAATATTTTGGATTATTAGCAAGTCACCTCCTTGATGAAATTGAGACTGTTTTGGAGATATACCTGCATAAGCTTCTTCACCTTCCTGAAGGTGGGTGGCATCCCCATCCCTAGGGCTGTTACTCAAAATGGCAAATGGAGCTGTTCTGTGGGTGGCTGTATCAGATGTTTAGTGCTGTCAAATACCTTTGAAGAGCGCTAGAGCAAGAATTAGCATGCAATAAACCTTTTGCTGTTTCTCTGTGCTGAACTTTATCCAGATCCCTCCCCCGTCCCGCAATTGCAAATGAATCAAGTGTTCTCCCAGCAAAATTAAGAGGTCTCCATGAAGCTGCAAAGAAACTAATCAAGATGACATCTTGTCTTGTATTTGATCAAAAAAATTGATTGTGCTATTGAATTTAAGCCTAGTGCTGTCTCCCTGGGCTGTTTGCCAGAGCATCATCAGCCAGTATCTAACAGACTAGACTGCCAGCCATCTAGCGTACCACTTTGCAAAATAAATCTGGAAAATGTAATGCTAGGTTCCCCAAGCCACGCTCCAAATATTAGATTGGTTTGGAAACATTAAGAACTGGAAGCGGAGAGATGGAGAAAATGCAGTAAATAAATGTGATTTTGGAAAACTGCTCTCCTAAGGCATTTGTGATTAAAATAACAAACTTTTTTAAAAAATTAATTTTGCTCACTTTAACGTGTAGATGGAAATAAGGATCTGTTGTTGCAAATGAATACTTTTATCATAATTACGCAATGTGAGTGAAAAGAGAGAAAATGGCAAAACATTTTCAATGTAGGCTTCCAAGACTTAGTGATAGGTTTCACACAATATTTTGCTTTACTTTTTAGTTGATTCAGATGTGCAATTGCACAGGGGTATATTTTACTTATTTGCTTATTAATGATATTTATGT